GTTTAAAATATTTGGTAAGTAAATTAATAAAACTAGTTGAACTAGTTTATTTTTAGTAAGAACTAGTTGAATTAATAGAACTAATGTATTTTTAGTAAGAAAATTAATATAACTAGTTGAACTAGTTTACTTTTGGAAAGAACTAGTTTATTTTTATTTATAGTAAGTTTATTTTTAGTAAGAACTAGTTGAACATGTCACGTTTGTTGTTATTTTTTTAGTTTAAGAAATTATTCCCGCATCGACCCCGTCACCGACCAGCGCTACATTTCGAGTATCTCTGGCCAGCGCTACATTTTTTAGTTTAAGTAATAGGGTACTTGTTTTTGCAGAAATCTAGGAGCCCCTTCATCATCCCCGTCGTCGTCCCCGTCACCGACCCCCTCCGACCTCGAGGTGAGACCAGACAAATCTCCATGTCAATACGAGTCCTATAAGATATGATGTAGATAAAAACATGTCAAATAGGATATGTGTTTGCCCAAGTGGCCGGTAATGTTTGCAGGTTACACCTCCGAGTGGCCTATGTTTTGCTGGAGTGTTGATTAATTTCCGTTCCGGCAAATTTCAGGTGCTCGATATGTCCTTTTTTAGCAAAGGTCATGCCGGAATTTTCCGTGAATTTTGGCATGACTTGTGCTAGAATATGTATGAAATATCGAGTGGCCTGGATTTTCTAGTAAGATAATTAGACGATATTTCGAGTTGACTTTAAGTCTGTCGAGGTCGAAGAATCCCGACTGTTGTTGTGGGGGTCGTTTCTCCTTCTTCTCCTTGTGCTAGACCTTTGTTATGCACTAGGGGAAGGAGGAGTAACGACCATCACCGACGGTCGAAAAATCGGTGAGGGAGTGTGTCCACCATATATTGGAGAACAAAGAAGAATGCCGACTATTGTCGTGGGGGTCGCTTCTCCTTCGTTCCCGTGTGCTAGACATTTTGGTTTAATGCACTCGGGGACGAAGGGAGGAGCGACCATCACCAAAGGTCGAATATATACACCACGTGAGCTGAGAGTTTAAAAAAACTCGACGGACCGATTGTCAACCCGTGCTGAATAATAATGATCTAATTTAGTTCTTGTAGTACATATATTTAATTGTACAAGTTTAATCTTTGAATTATGAACATAGGAAATGTCGTCGGATGAAGAAGGTCCCGGGGAGTGCTCCTGGTGCGGCGACTACCGGGGTTTCTACGACAGACCTCACCTGGACGAAGGTCGGCGCTTCAGCGTTAAGCTCGAGGAGGCCTTCGATTGTGATATGGTAAGCTACGATGCAAAGTGTTTTTTCGTAATTAAGCTCGACTTCTACTACTTCAATGTGTAATTTTCGTCTTTTATAATTCGACTAGCTTAGCCCATGCCATGCAAGACGCTATGTCTTGGAGAGGATGGGTGTTGAAGATCATGAGAGTAATGAAACAAAGAAAATTAACCTAAGGACCCATCATGGTATGGATTTTGAGGTAAATCTATACAAGTCTGAGAGCGTATCCCATTTTGGTTGCCCGGGTTGGGAAGCACTTTGCAAGATGTATGATTTTCAAGAGGGTATGTTTGTCACCATGGATCTTGGTGATCCTGACATGGACCAAGACAATTTGGACATTTAGGTTCTTGTTGATACGCTTCCAATTCTACCGCTATGTGAGTTCCTCAAACATAGTTATTAAGTAATTTATATTGTTTATTTCAAAATAATTGATAGCTTATTTCCATTCATAGCTTATTTTCATTCTTCAAAGAGTGTGCGAAAGATGGTAGACATAACCAACTACACCGATGGATCTGAGTTAACTTATCAAGAGAAAAATCATCTGGCCGCATATTGTACTGACATTGAGAATTACAATGCCTTTTATCGAACTCCTGCAAATTATGGTGAACACGTGCCACTAGTGCACGTGTTGAACCACGATAACTTCCATGGAGATATGCTGGTAAGATTTTTTACTATTACAACATCCATGCATCTTTTGCATATTTCTAAAACTGAACTACATTGCTAACTATGAAGTTATCACTATGTTTTTCAACAGAAAATCCCGATGGAATGTGTGCCTCATTTGATGTATCAGAATGGTCGCCTTGATGTTTTGAACATACAACCGTGTCGTCCTACGAATCTCACCTGTGCATACCAGGTTTCTAAAAACGGTGAACACATGATAATCAAAGAATGGAAGAAATGTATGGACATTCATAAGGAGGTTCTTGGAAGCAACATTGTGCAAAAGGCAAGAATTGGAGACAAGATAATCTCCATTCTCCATAATGGAGAGTCAGGGGATATCTTATTTTTTGCTATTTTACCTAAGATATTATAGTAGGTCCTAAGAGAATGTAGTAGGTCCTACGAGGTACAATATATTTATGAGAGTTGATGATGATGAGTAGTTGTGATTATGTCTAGTAACCAACTTGTATATGATGTCTCATTGATGAAAACGATGATCATGAGGAGGTGTTATATGACAATGATGTATTATGATGATAAGTTGTTAATGATATGATGATGATGATATTTATTATATCATTGGGTTAAAGAACCGCGGATTAGTTTCAAGTGGATGGACATCCACTTGAAACTAGTCCACGGTTCTTTCTCCCACTGATGTAATAACTCATTATGATGTAAAATCATTCTCTAAATTGCTGCAGTATGAAAACTTGTATAAAGGTGTATGAATACAACATGCAATAAAAAAGAAATACAGAATAATAGTAGTAGCGCGTGCTGAGAGAAGCGCTACTACTAACTACCAGTAGCGCTTGTTGTGGAAAGTGCTGCTACTAAGTCGATATAGCAGTAGCGTGGTCCCGACCATGCTACTGCTAACCTTTAGCTGTAGCGCCTTATCAGTAGCGCGGTACCCCGCGCAACTGATAGGCTTTAAACCCGTGCTACTGCTAGGGTTTTCCCTAGTAGTGAAAGGTTATGAACAAAGGATAAAAAATGTAAATAGATAAGATGAATACAACTCACCATCCTCCTAAAGCAATACTCATCAAGGACAACATCAAAAACTTCTGGGACTTCATCAGCTGGCACAAATGGAAAGCATGGGGTACCAGGACAACGACCAACTGGGAAAACCATACTGTAAAAAGAAAATAAAGGGGTATTCTACATTAATAACTTTTAAAAAAGATGTTATTCTCAATTTAGATGAAACAATATGTAACGCCCCGGATACAACTTTCCATATTCATAACTCCAACTCCTGCCTTTTCTGGAGATGCTATATGTTATTTCCTCCGTGGTTGGGTTTTTGTCTTTTGTTTTGCTTTTGTTCTTGTTATGCATCTCATCTCATGTCATCATCTGCATTTCATCCGCATGTTTTTCATAACTTGCACCTGTTCGTGTTCCGCCGGTTCTCTCCGTTGTCCGTTCTGAGCCCGACCACACTCGCACGCGCCCGCGGCACCTCCGTAATATTATTTTATAAGTGGCATTAAAAATGTTTTGGGAATGGGTTGCAACTTGTCATGCGGTCTTATTATAGTGTAGACAGAGCGCCTGCCAAGTTTCATCGCATTCCGAGCTCGTTTGATAGCCCAACCATTAAACTCATAGCGGTACCGTTGTCGGTACCTTCGTCGGACGTTTCGGTCTCCGAAACTGCCGCCGGGCCTCTCTTTCTCTCCTCTTCTCTCAGCCCAACCCCTCTTCTCAGCCCACCTGCAGCCCACCTAAACC